ATCTAAAAAGTTATGGGGTGCACAATAAAAGATAAACAATGTAAAATGTATTTAGCATACACAATAAATGACCAAACCACCTCGATTGATGGCGATTAACTACTTCTTCAGTTATTGCGAATCCTTGCTTAGTACCCCATCCCTAATGCACACTTCGATCCCAAATTAAATGACTAATGACTGGAGGACACCTATAATGGGATGACGGCGACCTATGGAAGTCCCTTGTTCTCAGTGGCCATAGAACACTGAAGAAGTTTTATGCAACGCATTAAAAACGCTGCATCGATGATGCTTCTGCGCGATCAGATGTCACACACCCGTAGATGCATCACAATACAAAGTTCTCCCGCCTGTTTCGTAGTCTTCGTGTTGACCATGTGACATGGCATAACCTACAACCAGCAAATCATGCTTCATCTGCAGACAATTTAGTATTTCTGCTTACTGATCTCCGTTTGCGTTGATTGACCAGTAGGTTGTGGACTTGTAGTAGTTCCATGCCAATGATCGGCACTGATACTTTCACAACAATGAAAAGCCGAAAATATGTTCGGAATTACCCACTCTAAGGTGAACGTAACCGTTACTGTAAGTGGCTGTGTACCTGGGTCAGTTACTTTATGTTCGTGAAAGTCACCTTCTGCGTAGCAGAACTAGGATTCAATGTTGACAGACAAGAATCGAATGTGTTGCAAGGTTTTCGGCGTGAGAATTTTTATCTTTGAACGTTTAAATGCGCTTACCAACATAATGAAAATGGGATTTGCAATATGCGAAAGAAATATGAGGATACACTTCGAATGGTTTTATATTCTAAATTTCACTCAGGACTTTTGTAACGACATTTTTTTCCCTCAACCCTCTTTATGTAATCGATTTATAATATTAATGCTCTTGGTTTTTTTGTTGTCGAGTGAAACCCAATCACAGACAATAAGGTTGTGGTTGAGTGAAATCAAGATGGAAGCGTGGAGATGTTTGTAATTGATAACCGACAGCTGCATGCCAGAAACGATTATCATTATTGTCTCGATTCACAAACAGCTTATTGTTAAATAAGCGTTATGAAGAAACCGATTCTGAGTTATTTCAGAAGCACAGTTATGCCTAAGTCTCAACAATGTGGTAAGATTTGATGCCAGAATAAGAGTCTATGCAGTAATATTTAGCAGTGATGCGACGAAAGTCCTAATTAATTGCAAAGAATGACCACCAAATATCATTTTGTATCGGTCAGACATACACAGGGAATATAAAATGAATCTAAAAAATAGATTTGAGTAAGTGTAATACAAAATACCGTGCCTTAATTAGTAACTCTAGATGGTTAAGAACAAAATTATTGTAGAAGAAGAAGAGACAGCAAAAAAAATAGAAAAAGATCCAGTGTGTCACATGGTTAATCATGGTATTAATAACAACAATACTAGTGAATATTAACACATAAATTGCAGCCAAAAAATCATAAAAACAAACGAAATTCCTGAAGTTCTACCCGGTTTTCCACTCATTTAAGTAGACACCAGGCCTTGTTTGTACTAACTATTGGTACTCATACTGATATTTTATAGGTGACACAGACAACTTTTGAGAAGAATGCCTCTGAAATGATCATTGAACCGCATTATAGTTTTACTGCAACTGACGTTTTCCGGGAATCTGATTCAGTTACAAAGAAATTTTGACATAAGTAAATGCAGGTCTTCGAAATCGACAGAATAAACGTTGATTGCATAGGTTGTGTGATAACATGATTGAGTACGAAAGGAAGAATGTCAGAGAGTAAGAAATATCATTTTTAAGCATGTAGATAAGAATAAGGTTTGATTCAATGCACTTAATCCTGAGAGGTTCTAACTTGAGATGTTGACATTTTTGGTGGTAGTCCTTGTCAGAATGCCTCAAAATAGCTGATTGACCACTGGGTGGTGATCAATGTCATGTATATCAGGTCCTTCTTAGTGCAGATCGGATCCCATCAACCAAGTTGCAATGTGGCCACCGGTCTAGATGTCTCGACATTGCGTGCACTATGTTGTGATAAGATAGTGGTTGGATGTAGTCAACAGGAAACCCTGAACCTAGGTTTTGAGCTACTTGGCACTCAAGATTACAGGTACACTTTGCTGAATAGTGCCAAGTAGCACGAAATCTAGTTTCACGGCTTTCTGTTGACTACCTCCGACCATCATCTTACACCAAAACAGCTTCAGTGAATCTTCTCTGGACACCAACTTTCATACAATCATTATACCTGTAAATACTGTAAAATGAAATACCGTATTAAGTATGGGTTTGATACATCTACTTTCAACATTATTGAAATTTATCATTGCGAATCAAATGAGTTTTCCTGTTTTGGATGCCACAGATCTTATATGCTCAGAAAGGTTCACACTGTTGCAATGTCCCAAGCCCAAGTCAAGAACAGTGTTGAGAGATCTCAGTACATGATTGTATGGGACAAGATTTAAATTAGAGATGCAGCCATTATAAATAAATCCAGTTTAACCGATATGCAGTAACTAATTCCACGACAACTGATTTGTATGACAGTTGTGAATACCATACAGTCGTAGAAAATCCTTTTAAAACTGTTCACTGACAAATCGATGCTCCGTACTCTTAACATGGTTTCTTTGCAAGTGGCTTATGTAATGCAGACTTACTGACCCTCTGGGTTAGCTGAAGTCTTTCAATACAGATTTCTTATAGGCTCTTGATGTTGCTGTTGCTTGAATTTTCTGCTTGAAACTCAAATTATCGGTATCGGTGGGTGTTCGATGAAGTGTCCATTAAATCAATTGCGTGAAAGATCACAAGTTGGTAGAGTTCATTAGACATCACTTGGTTGATCTTCAGTGACACTAGAGTGTTATAATTCCCAGTTCTTGGATCACCTCCCATATAAGTTATTAGTCGCTTACCTAGCACTCTAGACTACCAAACTATGCTACACAAGGACGTTCTTGAAATTTGGAAATACAACTGAACCGATAGGAACAAACCCCCCCAATGAGCTTTAAGTGAGGAATGCTAGTGCTGAACGTCAGTGATATCCAACACTTCAGATGACATAGCAGCATAGAAGAGTATATATAAACAACACTCCGTGATAATCTAGGTGTCGCTTCCCACAAACAATCTGTAGTCAACAAACTATGCTTGAACCTTGGAAGGCCTTTCCAAAATACTGGAAAGCTTAACTTTGGGACTATTAGAAACCATTTTCGGTGTTTTCAGAGAAATTAAACCCCCGGAGGCACTTTAACATTACGTCCACCCACCCTAAGAAAGAATGTATTCACATATAGATATCCGGTTGGCGTAGAACGACAAGTGGTGATGTGATAGTAATGTGTAATATCGCTTTTAATCCTCTTTGCCCTTGCAGACTCCTAATGTGCGTTGGTGTTATTCCAAACTGCAGGAAGCATCAACCTGAGAAAGAATATGGACGAGCTCACACAAAGGTTCATCTAATCGTTTCCAAGTCTAGAGTTATTAAAGTGTGAACCTCCTTATCAGAGTCGATAGTAATAGCACTTTTGAACAATTTTTTTGAAGTTAAGCGATGTTCATCTTAGTTTTGGATATGTACTGAATACTGTAGGAATTCTCAATACTGATTCCGCTCTTCTCTTAACAAAATAAACTCAAAGTTATTGAGATAAAGAGTCAAGTACATCAAAGTGGGAAAATTCCTTTCGATGCTATTTAGTAATAATTTATTCAAAATGAACTGGTGCTGGATTAGCTACTGTTTTTATTACCTTTTGTCTAATTCTCTAGCAACTTATATAAAGGTTTAAAACTGTAATCAGAAGAGTAATTTCATTGTCTAATTATATATATAATTAAGGTGCAACTTAATCAGCAGGCCGATAAAACGTAACAGTTCACCGTCTTGCCGCAATATATCAAATACTTGCAGTCGCATATAACAACCCGAAATATATTTCTATACGCTTACCTGTGGACAGTTGTGCTTTCATAGTCTCCACATCAGCAGCAGTCACCTGCTTACCATTTCGATCCCTAATACATTCTATCATTTCGTTTATTGACGTTGATTACGGTATCACTGGCTTTAAAGTTGCTTTTCATTTTGAGGATAACCTTCTGAACCATGGATCACAGACCATCCATCAAGTACTACAAGGATGACTGTGAAGCATCCTGTATGATTTTATGACATATTCCTAACCCTCCAATTTGACACGGAACCTTGACTGGCAGTTCAAAAAGTTAGACTCTAAACTTTACATGTTAGTTAAGGTTCTCATGATCTTTAATTCACTGTTGGACCTTGTAGTGAACGCTTATGACCAAATGTGCGATGAAACAACACAAAACATGCATTTAGCTCTTATGTCCTTCATCAGTTTACTTTCTCTGTGATTGTAATGGTTATGATTAGTCTGAGAAGAGATAAAAATATTCTTCCATACTTTTTGGAATTCCTTTGGCACACCATCAAATTTAATCCAGCTTCCAAAACGCCTGATCAGTATTATACGTTGAAACGCCGCGCTCAAGTCGACTGAAATTTCTCTTGAATATGAGGCACTACAAACAACACTTAATAATTATTAGGAAAGTTATCCTTTGCAGTCAGACTTTAATAACTGAAAAAAGTACTACAAATATTAAAGACTCACCGGTTACTTGACATTTCGTCCTAATCATTGTGTTAAACAGCGATTCACATAAACTTCGCGTATCGTTAACTCTACTTCGTGTGCCTCACCAACTCTAAAACAAGGACAGTGAGGTTCAGTAGAGTGATTGGTATCCCAGGTCAAATCACGAACCAACAATAAAGCTAATGTGTACACTACAAAACAGAGAAAGCTGAAATAATGCTTTCCACAGTGATTTAGTGATTCCACTGCAGCAAAAGACGATTCAAATGTGAGAAAACTTAAAATTCGTGCAACCAAACGGACATCTAACAAGCTCACTCAATCGAAATACGGAATAACTACCACTTCTCAGACCGTTCAAGGTCGCTGGGACGAAACAGCGGGTGTCTTTGAAATGGTCCTTGGTAAGCTATTTATGGAACTTCCAAGAAACCAGATGCCGTAAACTACGAATTGGCGTATTACCCAATAAAAACGTACTTAAATATAAGCATGCACTTGCCGTCAACCCTCTTCGTGAAGGGTCTACAGAAATATGTCCTGTGCAAGGATTGTAGTGTACAGTCTTTTAGTTCACCATTTACTGCACGGGCCCAAAATCTAGATTAACAATAGCAATATTTTGATCTGAAAGATAAGTTCTTTTGAGATAGGACATTCGTAGATGACCGACGTAGTCTTCTTTGTCTAGCTTGTGGTGGTGAGTTAGAAGTTGTATACTCTTCGGATTGATGATGATAACTATCATCATCTACATCCTGAACACAAGCATCTGATTCTGACGAACTGCGTTTGCCGTGATATGTACAGACATGCCTGACGAAAAAACAGTTTAGAATTGGGTGGTCATTGTTCTTTTTACATACTGACAACGTATACTACAAAAATAATTAACCACAGAAGTCATATTACCTTATGTACTTTCAAATAGGTTTCAAAATTGTCCGATTTTGTAAATCGTCGAGATAACATAACATAGTTGAAGATTCGTCCTACATAATGCATAATGACGACGGCATCGTCTTCGTTACTTGACAGATGAACGTTATCAGATATAGTGTGACTGAACTGAATTCAAATACTCAAAGATTTGACCTCTTCTGCTAAACTTCACGAATTGTCGATGTGACGCACCAATCATCTTACGAAGGTCGACCTTCAAGTGCTCATAACATGCATCAGTGGATGATACCCCTGAAGCGTTGCCTTGCTTTATCTTGCATTTCTCGTTGCGGAACAGTTGACGGCTCGTCGTTAATTCTGTGGCGTAGACAAATCGGTGTTAAATACTACCAAATTGTTGACACCAGTATCACTACTTGGAAGAAGTAGCTTAGTTTTAGTTTTGGAGAAAATTTAAGGTGTTAATTTCGAGGCATTTTGACTCAATGAGGAAATCTAAGAAAAAAATCCAGTCACCGTCCAAGGTGGAGAAAAAGACAACAGTTTGGTGCATTGTCACCTATATGCATGCATTTTGACATTCAACTAACTTTTTCAAAACCTTTTTTGTTGCTTGAATATTATTCCCATAGTGTACTAATAATGAAATAACAAAAGACATCCATTCTGGCTTGGCCTCATAGAGTTCTTTAGTTACTCACTGGACTATTTTGTAGAAGACGGCCATTTGCTTCACATTACCTAAAAAACAGTTTTTTCTACAATAAATTCAACGGTATTTCTAAACCAGTTTTATTCTCTATAGGTGACTAATCTTAAGATAAGTGCTTGAATTTCAAGTCATCGTATTGCCTCTTAGGTAAATTAAAAGTTCGTCCTGTTCTTGCTGTATGTCACAAGCATCACATCAAGTATTCTTTGTATCTGAAAGTGGTATCTGACTCCATTTAGTTCTAACAGGCGAGCAATCTTAGGTCTATTCAAAAGTAAAATTATCTCCATCCATTAAGATAATATTTGCGACTTATACTAATTTTATGCTTCGTAACACAGTTCCCAAAGTTCTTACACCCTTTTATGTAATTGTCTCTGGACAAGCTGTATGAATGTTTTAGACTAGGTACACGCAAAGATAAATAAAAGCCCAGTAAATAAATATAGGTTCGTCTTATGGAATTTGAGCTACTACCAAAAGGCTAATACTATTCGGTTATTAGAATTTAAGTATGTTGATCAACGTTTGTATCTACACACAGGGTGTCAAATCAACACGAAATTTTTATTGATTATCAGTGGTCACCAACAAACGTAATAGAAAAGACATTGCAGAATCCTGTGTTTCTTGGAAAGCCCAGTATAAGGCAGATTTTTGACATCTTGTCACTTAGATGTAGCAACTGATACGTTTTATGTATCGATTTAAAGTAATGATTTGTCATTATGCACTTTCCGTAAATTATTGTTTAGATTTGTACCTACTACGTAGCACAGTGTTATATTTTAGATGTATTTAAAAAACCTTTTGTGCGTCTTGGAAAAGTCAACGTCCTCTGGTCCTGAATACAGCGTCCGAAGTCTGCTTGCAAATTATTGTAAACGTTTCTGTTTACCAGTAATATAGATATACTTATCCGCTCTTTACTACGCTGCCAAGTCCAGACAGTATTAGCTGTTCCCAATATCAGGTGTAGATAGTTGTGCGGACATTCCTTTTGATCTATTATTCTCGTAAGGACCGTAAACCATAAATAAATGATCATGTAGACCATTTTCTAAGTTCTCGTTCGTACATTTCGCCTTGGACTGCACTACCTAAATGAGGATCAGTAGCTATCTGGCTCTCCAGTCTGAAATAGATGAGAATCGAAATCTCCAATCTAGTGGTTGCGACCCAAATGCTTTAACCATTAACCTCCAAGAAAGACTGATTATCCAAGACCCACTCATTTCTGTGAAATAATAGCTTCATTTTTACCATATATTTTTCTTTTCAGGCATTTTCTAACCTCTCCATGTAACAGTATGTGGTTATCTGCTAATTAGATATTGTTTATGCTTCAGCATCCAGCGTAATGCCTGTTTTATTTTGTCCCCTCTGTCACTCTTTATTGATGATCGAAGAGTCGGCTCATTGCTATTCGTTGAACTGTTCTGCTCCCATATGTTCTTACAGGTGGTTTGTCACTCAGCCACTAGTTTTAGAACATAAGCCAAGACAGGATGTTCGTTTACGTTTAGAGGAAGACGCCGTTTTCTCGGTTGAAGATGAATATAGTTCTTCTGCTCAGACAGATGAAAAGTGTCCTAAGTGCGGTTTTACGCGAGCGTATTTCGTCCAAATGCAGACACGTTCAGCTGACGAACCCAGTACAACCAAGTATTCTTGTATGAAATGTCACCATATCTGGACTGAACAATAAAAAGTATTGTAATTGTACAGAAATGTGCCTATTCAGATTAATTTGTGTATTTTATAAAATAATTTGATACTGATTGATTGCGTGATTTTTATTTATTTGTGCAATTCACTAAGCGCAGATCCGTGTACTCAGCTTGTTACACTTTTTTTGTGAGCTTTAGTGATTATTTCCGGTTGTTCGGACAGAAGTAAAACTCAACTTCTCGACCTAGTATTTAAAAGTTGAATTCCTTAGCTTCTAAGACGCCGTTCAAATCAATCTATTGTTTTGCACAATGTTTTTGTTCTTTATGTAGTTCGAAAATAAATGTGATCATTTCGTTTCAATTCATGTTAGTCAGTTATCAAAATCAAAATATATTATCGAATATCTGTAACTTTATGTTCGTTCGTAAAAATAGCTTTTAAGCTGTGAAATAGTACAAAACAGACTGAAAGAAATATTTCCATTTTTTGTCGGTACTCCGAATATTTCGGTTGCACTACGAAACAGCTCTACAAAAGCCCATGGGACATTCCGTCTTTGTAGGAAATAATCGCTGAATAATGTTCTCGGGTTTTCACTCAAAGATTTTACGCTACCGCGTATTATGTATGGCTTTTAGTTTCTAAAGCGTACTCAACCCAAATACTATAAACCTTGAGGTGACAGATCATGAATCTGATAGTCCAATGAGAAGATATTTTGAGTAGGAGAGGTATACATGAATTATGGATCTCGCTGACTAATAGTATGCATTTTGGTGGATGGTGGGAGTACTATACATTTTATGGATAGCCACAAAGTTCTTCACTGGCACCTTTTTGACTAATGGTCGCAAAATAAACTAGTGACTAACCATTGCTAATGTTAGGTTGTTGCGAATAAGTATATTTTTTCCTACAATTATCAGTTCTGTAATTAGGAATAGCTGTACTGCTCCATAGGCTCACTCGTGACGGGACGAAAGTAGAATTTCAACAGGACAGTTAAAGAATATAAAATTCGCTGGTATCTCATCTCCCAACAAAATTCGGACTTAATTATCAGGCTTTACTTGTGATCATCAAACCACTATGCGATGTGATTGGACGGGTATGAAAACAGAGTTATGTGTCTTTTTGGTTATCAGAGTGGGGGCTTGTGGTAATTTTAATGATTGAATTCATTAATCCATCTAAGTTATACCACCATTAGAAACCTGAATGGTCGTTTTGTCCTAGTATGGGACTTCTCAGCAGTGTGCATCCACGATCCCGCATGCGGGACTCGAACCCAGGACCTTCAGTCGCGCGCAAACGCTTAAATTCTAGACCACTGAGGCGTAACCAGTGGGTTCCAATACGTGTCGGGTAGAGACAAATATCCACCTCAGACAATGGACGGGTGGTTGCTCAAGATCATGTTTTGATTGAAGTTAGGCACTAATATCGTTGGATTTCGGCTTAGTGGTCTGAGGGTTAGGCGTCCGCTTGTGAAACTGAAGGTCCAAGTGTGCACTACTGAGGGGTCTCATACTGGAATGAAACGGCCATTCCATGATTTCAGGTTTTCAATGGTGGTCTAGCTTAGATCGATTCATCAATTCAACAAATAAAATCAGATGAAGACAGAAATATTTTGGATTTTAAATAAACAATGTGGTTGCGGAACAGGAAAATGATCTCCAATAAAACTAAATAAAATATGGTATAGGTCGTAATCATCAGTGTTCTTTTAGTATTTACCACAAAAGAATCATTAAGCAAACTATATATTTCTGGCTAACTCCTCTACTAGCCTTATTTTGAACGTTCTTCGAGACTAAAACTGCTTAGTTACCCAAAGAGCTTAACCTTACTACTTTAATTTATATAAAGCTCTGTTAATTAAATTTTGACATTGAGTACTACAGGCTGATCAGAATTCATCATCTTAACGTACCCCTAGTTCCCAGTGGCATATTAATCTAAACTTAGTTTATTGGTCTCATAATCCACCTATTTCACTGTAAATCAAAAGAATGAGTAGTTCTTATTTTTAAAAGGCGAGGTTATAAAAACATAGTAAACTAAGTTATTTTATAGATACGAATTAATATTTCTCCTTTTATTTGGACTTCGAGTTTTATAATCAATTATCTGTCTTAATAAGCCTTTTGCGGAGTTTACACTTAGATATTGAGATGCTGAAAAGTGTACAGTATATATTAACCAGTCATTCATCAGGACACTCGTCTAACTTTGTGAGTTTGAGTTCATTTAATTACGATGAATATAGTTTTCATCACAAATTGAGTAATTGACTGATCAGTGAAATCATGAAGCACTTTAGCTGATGTGTTCGTTTTCAATTTTCCCATTGTTGTACTCAAACGAAACCCATTAAACTAACTATTTCAAAATGTTTACTGGGGCCCAGTCTTCTTATAATCATTTTAACTCGAATGTTGTACCCTTGTACACAGAAAATCATAAGGAAGGATTGAAAATTTCACACTGATGATGAATTTACATGGTCTGTCCAATAAACTCATGAATTGCCAAGGTTGTTAATGATGCAAATAATTACACAATCTATCAGTAACATCATATTCAAATGTCCATCACCTCAATCCAATTTGATCTCAGTTCCTCCCATGTGATAATATTGCCTATAAAGATTAGTTTATAAATGATTGTGTTTTAAGGTTGATGTGATTTTTGAGAATTGTTCGGAGACATGTTTTTGCAGATGTAAATCTTCGGCGCACCGGTCTTTCGTGTTGCCATTTTGCGTCGTAGGAATTGTAGTGTTTCCGTTTCCTAGTATAAGTAGTGGAATCGAGGAACTTCAATGTTTTCCGATTGTCAAGTAAGACTACAGAGTCAATAAAGTCGATACATATATAAAAACGACGACTGCCCAGATATAACAGCTGCCCAGTTACACAGTCTCGATGGACCCAGTTTTCAAGTTATAACTGGCGTTTATTTGGATGTAACGTATTTAAATAATATAGAACGAAACAGCCATGTGGCTGCTTTTTGTTTGGAATCGTTCCCCAGTTGACGGTATTGCAGGATAATGAGCTCATGTCGTAGAAATAATTGCCAAGATTTCAAATAAATTAAATATTGTGTGAACTGTTTTCAATAAAAATGATATATTCCTAATACTCTTATCAGTGACAATAATCGGGTCTCTGTTATTCCGAAACTTTGCAGAAGTTATTTCTTCATGAAATATCTTAGAGTGTCATCATTACTTTTAGCAAATCTTTAGTTCTGTAATGCTTTAAAGTTTGTTTTGGCCGTTCTCTTTTAATTTTTAGGTAAGATAAAAGTACAATATCAAAATGTGAGATTTTACGCAGAAATCAATCATTACATTTTAATAATAATTTCAGGAGAATTATCCATTTCGGACGTCTTTATTATATTCTGCTTAACTTAGTTAAAGATACTTCAACCGTTCACATTTCACCATAAACCAGGTGTTTATGTGAGTTAATGACATGTTTATTTGTAATGACACATCTTCCGATTGCCTTTTTCTAATTATCAAATTAATCGAATCGCTTATAAAAGTGAAAAGACTACCTGTACGATACTCTAACCTGCTTTTTAAACGAAATAATTGGGTATATTGTTTTTGAAACCTTATACTATAATTTATATGAATATTCGTCAATATATAAACGAATAATTTGACGGAAATTGGGCTCCGAGTATATGGGAGACATTTATCAAAATTATATTTGAAATAATCTCAGAGACTAAGTTGAATAGTTCCGTTTCTTCCAATAATCTTGTCTGGACATCTTTAAGATAATAGTCAAAATTTTTAGAGAATATATAACGTTTGACAGTCAAATCTACAATAAAAGCTTGTCCAACCCCATACAAATGTTGATTCTAATAAGCTGTACCACAATCTTCTAAATAACTCGGTTTTATTAAGTTCAGCCACCTTAGTATTTCAGAATGTTACCTGAGATAACTGTCTGTTTGTTCATCTTTTAACAAACTGTATAAATTTGAGTTTATCTAGAAAAAATCATTACTGACAATGTGGTCGTTTTTTTAATGACAGCAAAATTTATTTGTTATCCAATGACATCAATTACTACCAATAACTGTAGCGTACTAATATACCATTGTCTCGAAACTGAATAATAAATCTAAATGCATAGGGATGATTGATTAACATATTTTTTCCGACCATATGTTGAAGACCTAACTAGAGGGAAAAAAAATTTTTATGCAAAACTTAGAGACAAACAAAAACAACCTATTAAATCTATTTGAATCGCAGCTAGTTTCACTGATTCTGTAATTCAAACTCAAGAATATTTTATTCTAAAGATAGATACATAGATTGGTTGATTGATCGTTAGATGTTTACTACTATGGACAATCAAAATACTTTTTACATTAAGACTTGTTATCGTTTTTTTTTGTTGATAAACTTATTGTTCAGTAACTATTAATTTCTCGTAGACTGATTGAATGTTGTATGGCTATCACGAGTTTGTAGGCTGATTAATCATTTGGTAAATAAATCACTTCAAGGTTACCAAGTAACTGTTAATCAATGGAAGTTTGCATACACGTACAGTTTATGCTATAATATTACGTTTTTAAATTATTCGTTTGAAGATCCATTTTTTAAACAAGTGATCAGTTCTAAAATAAGAAATAAAAATTCATTTAATACCATTTGACTTTGTACAGTTAACTTCTCATTGTCTACAACATATGGTCAATTCAAATAGTAATTTATCACTTCTGTGCCATGTAGTGAACGAGAACACAAGTGGGGACAGCTTAGTGAAATCTGAGAACTATACAGTAAATAATTGATTTGCAAAATGTCAATCAATCGTCTCAGACTTCATTGTTCTTTCGTTTCCGCACTAATCATTCTTTGTTCTCGTTCTCTTTTGTGCGATCGATTTAACCTTCTGTTGCCTGACATTTCACTTTCGACTGATGATACATGCTATTTATATCTGTCGACATCAATAGCACACGCCACAGCCATATTCCATACACATAGTTACCATTATCATCTCTAAGAGAGCAAGAACAAAGATATGAGCAGAATAACATGGATTCATTTTTATTTCATTTGGGTCTTTTCAACTACTTACGACTTACAATACTTCAAAATAAAATTGTACATTGGTTCTGTTTAAATAGAAATATTTTTAGTTGTAAATGAGATTTGGCGTTTTATGGTACTTAACAAATAGATATGTGATTTCTTTTGCTTAATCCAACAATTTTCGTTTAGTACGAGAGGTTTGTTGAAACCGTCGGACTTTTTGGTTTACATCAAGAACTGATTATAGTTAAACAACCGCTGAAAACTGGGAAGCACTAGATAAATGTTTCGTTATAATCTAATATGTCTCAGCAGTGCGCATCAATGACTCCACAAGGGATTGAACCCGGAACATTCAGGATCCGATGCAAGCGCCAAACCCTCGTACTAGTTAGTAAGTATCCCATAGTTTCAATTCTAATCATCGTTTAGTCAGATACCTATCAGCGTATAACAACTAGAGATAGTTTTCAGGATTCTAGTGGGAAGCCAGGGCCAATAGAGTGATGGAGTCTCCTACCAATATCAATGGGTGATGTTTAGGCAATATCGAAAATTAACTGAAGTAAGAAATGTAAACTGAATGGTCAAGCGCATTTCCCTACGCGATCCTAGTTTATAGGTACCCAACTTGGTTTTGGGTGCACACTGCTGAAGAATTCCATACAAGGGGAAAATAGCCACTTAGTGCTTCCTGGTTTCCAGAGGCTTTTTAGTTGCAGTCAGTTCGTGTGATAAACTACAGATTTTCATTTGGAACTTAAATAGTGTAAGTACAACGTGTAATTCGATGTATTTTTTTATTCAATAATTAATATGCTAATTTCTTTAAATCAGTATGAAAGTTTGAAAAGATCACATTACATGAGATAAAATTAGTCCTCACTAATCCCTAGTAAATTACAGCCAAAAAATAAAATTTTTCTATTATATATATCAATTCAAATACCAATCTAGTGTTCGACTAGTTAGTTTGGTCCAGTAGAACACACCTGTGTGAACAAGAGACAATCAGTTTTAGTGATACAATAATTACTTCGTTTTTTTAACGAATCAACTGGCGAAGACATTATCGTCGAATATTATCATCAGTAAACTTGATAATGTATCAGAAAACCATTACTATTTAAAAAGCATTCACGAGAAAAAGAAATACTGTTCAGAATTATAGGTTTTAGTGATTAACTACATTTGTGTTTATAAAAAAATATTAAGCCAGACATACGAAAAAAAATCAAAGTTGTGGTGTGGGTTACTTATATCCACACAAGTAGTATTTGACGGTGGTCAGGCCTAGAGTGTATTTCAGTAGAAGGTCGATGAGGAAAGAATGGGAACGAAGTGCAGTTGATATGAAAATGCTTGAACAATAAAACCTGAGACAATGGATTGATGATTGCAACAGAAACAGTCAAGTTTGATATGATGAATTGATATTTTGCAAATTAACGATTTAATATATGGTTCTCAGATTTTATTTATGCTCTGTAATTATGTGATTAAATACCTTCGATTGTCCCCACCCATGTTCTGTTCATTACAAAGTTGCGTATTTACATAATACATATACATAGCCCTCAATCTTCCATTTGCATCTTCCAGTGTGTTCTGCGACCTGAACGGTTTCCTCGACTGGTCTCCAAGTGTCCTACCAACGTCGTACTCCTGATGTACTGGGACTCCTTACACTGTCTGGCAACATTTTTGACTTAGACATCTTGTTCTGCTACACACTACGTACAAACATCTTTGTGAATAGCATCCACTACACTAAAATTATGAGTAAATAAAGACAAAATATATTGCACTATAAAGATACCGGCATGTTTTGATTGTTACAGTCATCACGAACATGATAAAATGTGGAGAGAAATAAGTTTGTGAATGTATGAAGATACATCATTCATCAATAAACTTGAAAATCATCTGGGCTTGTAGGTATATTGTTAAAATATCCACTGAAATAAAAGCGTCAGAAATAAAAATTCTACACTTATCTTTCAAATCACAATTCACACTTGATCAAGCTAGATAGGTTCAGTCACCAGTACTGATGTCGAAAGTGTACAGAGTAAAATATTTTCAAAAAGATTTAAGTATGGATAGCATAGAAGCATTGAAAATTTGATAAATTTGTCGTTTGGACTAACACAATTCCACCTAACAACATCATCATGTGACACCGGTAACCAACAATTTACATTTCATAATTCATCCAATCGACATATTATTGATGTTCTGTTTCTGCTACTAAATTCATTTCCTGTATGATTGCATTCTGTCTGACCAAAATTCATGACACACAACAGAATCGGATCTTGTTATTGTAAATGTACTTTGAAAGAGATAAATACATTAGTTGTGCTTATATCATTTTGGTATAATGAAGATTTTGGATAATGTAATGAGAATATGAATATTTTCAAAATTATCTGTAGAACTGTGTGTACTCATGAAGATTAACGAATTGGCTATGAGTACTATTTTAGGACGGTTTCTAGCTGATACTTTTTGCCATGTGTCGAATATAAGGCATGTAGAATGAGATAGAACAACTGAACGCTTTATGTTTTGAATTTAAATTTGTCGCGTAATCAGGTACAATGGAATCATCGAGTAGTAAAAATACCACGAATATTTCAAGCATGAACCATAATAGTGCAAGTTCTGTAACTTTATAAGCTGGGACAACAGTTTTTCTGGTAATCATCATATTATTCAATTCATACCTGCATTTGACTGACTATTAAAACATATCAACTACATTCTACAAGTATTTGCAAATTGATCTATCACTATGGTTCATTTCCTAATAAATCATATAGAGATACATTTGTGTGAAAAATGGGATTTATTCTAGTATTCGAATAGTCTATGTCGTCGAACAATTCGTATTCATTTATAAATATTGGCCAATTGCTTGAAATATGTGGGTTGCGAATATCATATCGAAATTAAATTTGATAGTGAATGAAAAGACATATTGTCTCAAGTTCATTGCTGTAAAACCTCATATTAATTATTAGGAAGGTCACCTACATACTCAGCTTCACTGTTGGAAATAAATGTATGAGATAACATAACTGAGTAAATAAGAACAACGAAGTTTTGCAGAATTCGAAAAAGTAGAGACCTCATCGAACTTTTAAAGAGGAAAAGGGGCAGATGGTAGACCGACTAAATTTAAAACCTTTAATAATTTAATTTTCCCTTTTGATGGTCGTACTCATTAATACGCACCTTCTTGATAGTCACCATTTTGATGGTTCCCCTTTTCAAACACACTCTAATAAATAAACATCGATACACTTACAACAGAGCTTAGTAAATTTTTGACTAATGAACCACTTTTATTACAGATATGAATAAAAATTGATTAGAATCTTTCTTCAAAATAACACAAACATCATTATATCTAAGTCATTTTGTCTGTTTACTATTTACTTAATGAAATATGTTCTTGAATATTTTTCACATGTTTTAGCCTAACAAAAACAAGAATTTCAAGTCGGAATTATAATAAGAATAATGATGATAATTGCGACAATAAACTGTCTAAATGCGTGGATCATCTTTAAAAAACATCACTTTATTGTAAATCATTTGGTTTAATATCTATGTACTGCTAGTTTGAATGAAAGAACAGATATAGTCTACATGAAACTAACGTTCACACATATGGTATACTTTTTATGTATTTATAAATAATAGTAATAATAGATCCCAAGGTCAATAAATTTATTTCACAATAATTGGTTAATAGACACGTGATTTTCTATTCATTTTTGAAGTTTGTTTACTTTTGAAATCACTTATATTTGCTACTTGATATTATGTTTACTACTATATTTTTAAACATATCTAATAGACAATTGAATAGTTAGACAAAAACATTTCACGAATTAAAGTTGATTTGAATATTATGGCAACAACAACAACAAAAAATGTACATAAATTCATTAGGTAACTGCATATTATACATTTGATTTAATGCCTTATACGCTATAATATTAGTACAATTAGTAATATGAAAGAAGTAGATAGAGACAATGTTCAACTAATTAATAAAAGAAAATAAATAGTTCGTTAGGGAATAATTTTAACCGGTCAGTCAGTAACACAAAGACAACTTTTATTACATGATAATGCTGTTTATAAATGACTTCATTCATTTATGGTTATTTATAAGATTATTACTTAATTGTTTTAGCCATTAAAAGTTAACTGAATGTAACATAATAGAATCATTTTTGTATTCTATTAATGTGTAATTAATTTCTACAGTAATATAGGGATCATTACCAAAGTTTGACTTGATAATTTCAAACAAATTCAGCATTAGGTAGATTGTTATAAATAAATATAGTATATTTATAACGATCAGTTTAGAGATTGTGGAGATTGTTAAGTTTTGATTAAGATCATGAGTCGAAAACCTGGGAGCACTGGACGGCCGTTTCATCCTATTGTGTGACTCATCAGCAGTGCGCATCCATGATCCCACTCGCGGGATTCAAACTCAGGGCCTTCAATCTCGCCTGCGAACGCCTAACCTACTGGACCACTGAGCCGTCATCCCATGGTGTTAATGTCTAACCCCAACCAATCCACGAAGTTGCGCGACCATCTTCCGTTGTACTGAGGTAGATATCTGTCTCTATCCGGATTAGCTCCACTGGTCACAGTTTCTCACTAAAACTCCGAGAATTTTCTCATGAAGCTAGTCACTAGTAAGCACATGGTAATTAGAGATATTTGTAATATCTCTGTTGTGTGGGCGAGAACGATCGTGATTGGTTGTCTGCTTAGTCAGACATGTAGACAGTCTGACAGGTGTCAGATAAGTTATATATTCTCTTACCCTTATCATTGTGACTCACTCATTCTTATTTACATTATTATTGATTGTTCATTGTTGTGGATTGTGTCGGGTTTTGGGGTGTGAAATATATTACGTTCTGGTCAGGCTGACTTCGTGTTCTTGATCTGAGTTTTGTTGAAGTCCTGTAGGATAGACACTGGGAGGGATCTAGTGTAGATAATCGTTGAAGCGTTACAACATCAGACGAGGTAATACCGAGCGTTATAAAAACCGACGACGGAACGTTATAACAATTGGCGACGGGTTAAAAAACAAAGAACCTAAAGTACAAACCACAAGTTATATCAATTGCCCACGGTGTTTAAAACGGATCTACGTCTACATATTCAGTTAAAGTGGATTTTATAATAAAATGGATGATCTGAAAATCTTATTGCAACAGCAAAATTCTCTTATCGAATTATTGGTGAAAAATATGTCAATATCCTCAAGAACCAATGTATCTAATCCCACTATGACTCCGGATTCTATTGCGAACTCAATAGATGAATTTAGATTTGATCCAGAATGTGGAATTACTTTTGAAGCATGGTTTAAACGCCATGAGGATTTATTTATTAATGATTGCAAAGAGTGGGATGAAGGCTCAAAATTGAGATTATTATTACGTAAGCTCGGAGTGTCGGAACACGAAAAGTTCTGTAATTTTATCCTTACAAAAAAGCCAACCGACACAACCTTCACAGAAACAGTTGAGTGCCTGACACGCATATTTGGTGAACGATCTTCAGTCTTTCACACTAGATTCCAGTGTCTTCAGCTTGTAAAAAAACCTCAGGACGATTATATGACATACGCAAGCATTGTGAACCGGGAATGTGAACGGTTCCGTTTACAAGAAATGTCATCAGATCAATTCAAATGCCTTATTTTCGTATGTGGGTTACAATCTGCCGCAGATGCAGATATTAGAACACGTATTTTAACGCGAATTGAACAAGATCCTAATATTAGTCTGCAATTCGTATCTGAAGAATGCCAAAGAATGGTTAATCTGAAGCATGACACCAATCTAGTAGAAAAGAACAAGGAACATGTGGAAGTTAAAACCTTGCAGAAAGCTTTTAACGGAAACAAGGATCAGTACTCTTACCAAAGTCCAAAGCAAACGAAACCCAAAATGTGTTGTTGGCGGTGTGGTAAGCGTCATTCTCATAATGTTTGTTATTTTAAAAAAAGAGTTTGTTTTCGATGTGGTAGATACGGTCATGCTCAAGTATGTTGTAAAAGGAGACAAAAGATTGTCGATCATCAGAGTAAGGCTCGTAAAGGAAATAAGACGCAGACACCGAAAGAAATCCCACATAATTCGAGTGTCATTCTGACCACAAAAAGCGCTCATTTTTCATCTAAAAGGAAATATGTAACTCTATTTTTCTATGGTAAACCTATTAAGCTGCAAGTTGATACGGGGTCAGACATAACATTAATTTCTAGAAAGACGTGGATAAATCTTGGTCGACCTCGATATCATCCTACATTTTACAACGCTAAGAGTGCAACAGGAACAAATATTACTCTTCTTGGTGAAATGCAGCTACCTCTCACATTAGGTGACAAGACTAGGACCGGGAAATGTTATGTGTCTGGGAATTGTCATACCAACTTACTAGGTATTGACTGGATAGATAAACTTGGTTTATGGGATTTGCCGTTGAGCACTGTTTGCAATATGATTAATTCACCAGTACCTAAATCGCTGTCAAGTGACTTTAGTCGGTTATGTGTAAAAGAATTGCGTGATAAGTTTTCAGACATCTTTGAGGATAAATTGGGACTATGTGTAAAAGTAAAGGCTCGTATATATGTTCAGCAGGAAGCGAAACCTGTGTTCCTTCCAAGGAGACCGGTACCTTATTCGATTACTGATGCCTTGGATGCAGAACTTGACAGACTGCAGAACTCTGGGGTTATTTCTCCTGTAAATTATTCTGCATGGGCAACACCATTAGTGGTTGTAAGGAAATCTGATGGTAAAATACGTGTATGTGGAGACTTCTCCACTGGACTAAACAAAGCACTACAGGACCATTTATACCCCTTACCCATCCCAGAGGATTTGTTTACTAAATTGAATGGGTGCTCCATATTTTCGAAGATTGATTTTTCAGACGCATATCTCCAAGTGGAGGTCGAAGACGACTGTAGATTTTTGCTGACAGTAAACACACATCGAGGATTGTTCCAATATAATAGACTGCCTTTTGGTATAAAATGTGCCCCGGCAATTTTCCAGCAAGTCATGGACACTATGTTAAACGATATTCCGTTTGCCATGGCATATATGGATGATATTATTATTGCTAGTAGAAGTGAAAAAGAACACTATGATCATTTACTAGAAGTCTTCGCTCGTATTAGAGAGTATGGTTTTCGTATAAAAGTAGAAAAGTGTTCATTTTTTATGTTAAGTATTCGATATTTGGGAACAATTATCGATTCTCAGGGACGTAGACCTGATCCTGAAAAAGTACATGCCATTGTGAATATGCCAGCTCCATCTAATGTTAAAATGCTTCAGTCATTTTTGGGAATGATTAACTATTATAGCCATTTTGTGCCAAATATGCATACCCTGCGTGCTCCAATGAATGCACTATTAACTAAGAATACCAAATGGAACTGGAATAAGGAATGTCAAGTGTCCTTCGAAAAAGTGAAACAGATCTTGGCTTCTGATTTATTGCTTACTCATTATGACCCAAAACTTGAGTTAGTAGTAGCGGCAGACGCATCTGATTATGGCATTGGAGCGGTGATTCTTCATAAATTTCCTAATGGGTCACAAAAAGCTATTTTTCATGCTTCACGCACTCTTACTGTGGCTGAAAAAAATTACAGTCAAATCGAGAAGGAGGCTTTAGCCCTAGTGTTTGCGGTCAGGAAGTTCCACAAGATGTTATACGGTAGGAAATTTACATTGCAAACTGATCATAGACCATTGCTGGCTATATTTGGCTCTAAGAAAGGAATACCCATCCACGCTGCAAATCGGCTGACTAGGTGGGCTACTATGTTGCTTGGATACGACTTCGAATTACTGTACAAGCCGTCAGCTTGTATGGGTCATGCAGATGGGTTGTCAAGGTTAATTGCTAATAACCGTAAGTTAGAGGAAGATAGCGTGGTTGCTTCTATATCAATTGAACCGGAAATAAAACGAGTGTTCTGTGATGCTATTAGAATCCTACCAGTAACGGCGGAAGCGGTTAAAGAAGCTACGGCTAGTGATCCTCTACTCAAAAGAATAAAAGGAGCAGTTTTAAATGGTTGGAAAGAGGATAAGGCTGATCGAGAATTTCACCAATTTTTTCTGAGACGTGAGTCTATATCGATTTATGATAATTGTTTAATGTTTGGCGATCGTGTTGTTATCCCTAAATCTCTTCAGTTTTTTGTGCTTAGACAGTTTCACATTGGTCATCCGGGAATGAACAGAATGAAAGCAATTATGCGTAGTTATGTCTATTGGCCATTCATGGATAAGGCTGTGGAAGAACACGTATTGAGATGTCGTCGATGTGCCGAAGGTGCAAAAGATCCACCGAAAGTAGAATCCCAGCCATGGCCAGAAACGAAAACGCCTTGGGTTCGACTACACGTCGATTATGCTGGACCAATAAATGGACACTATTTTTTGGTGGTGGTAGATTCATACTCAAAATGGCCTGAAATTTATGTTGTGCGAAGACCTTCTACGTCTGAAACACTGTTACATCTCAGACAACTATTTGGTAGGTTTGGGACACCTAATGTTTTGGTTTCAGATAACGGGACGCAGTTCACGTCGTCACAGTTTGCGGAGTTCTGTAAACAAAATGGAATCGAACACATTAGAACTCCACCGTATCACCCTCAGTCAAACGGACAAGCAGAAAAGTTTGTTGATATTTTGAAGCGAGCTCTCTTAAAGATGGGAAGAGAAGATAATGTAGAAGAGGCTCTGCAACAGTTTCTAATTTCTTATAGAATCACACCGAGTTCAAACTGTCAAGACGGGAAATCACCAGCCGAAATAATGTTTGGCCGACCAATTAGAACATTGTTGAATGTTTTGAATCCGAAAGACAAAGTGTATGGACTACAAAAAAATAAGGAAGGGAATTATCCGAAGATTCGAGAGTTTAAAGTAGGTGACTTAGTTTATGCACGTGACTTCCGGCCTGGAAAGCCGAGATGGATATTTGGATGTATTAAAAAAAGACGTGGGACAGTATTGTATGAGGTTATGGTGGAAAATACACTAATTATCAGACATATCAATCAACTGAGAGACAGAAGAAATGTTTATGAGTCACCTAAAGTCAAATCTTTACCAATCGAAGTATTATGTGATACTTTTAATATCCCACCACCACCACAAGTTGAAATGGAAAAAAATGAACTGAAATCAGATGCCAGTCGAAAATCATCACGTGAACGAAAACAAACGAGATTTTTTCAAATAGACCCGAGAGCGAAGTCATACGATCAAACTTCGTGAGGGAGGTGTTGTGTGGGCGAGAACGATCGTGATTGGTTGTCTGCTTAGTCAGACATGTAGACAGTCTGACAGTGTCAGATAAGTTATATATTCTCTTACCCTTATCATTGTGACTCACTCATTCTTATTTACATTATTATTGATTGTTCATTGTTGTGGATTGTGTCGGGTTTTGGGGTGTGAAATATATTACGTTCCGGTCAGTCTGATTTCGTGTTCTTGATCTGAGTTTTGTTGAAGTCCTGTAGGATAGACACTGGGAGGGATCTAGTGTAGATAATCGTTGAAGCGTTACAACATCAGACGAGGTAATACCGAGCGTTATAAAAACCGACGACGGAACGTTATAACAATCTCAATAAGTAGAAAAATTGTATTTCTGACGTTTAGTAACGCGTCGTTCCTTTATACTACTTAAACTTGGATTAATTTTGATTTAGTTATTTATTCTCTGAAGAAGTGACTTACACTAAGTCACGAAACGTCAGAAAATTTAATTTTTCTACTCATAAGGATGTTACAAATATACTGATCGATTTATTTCTACTGATAATGGTAAACTATCTTGGATTTGACATGGAGTTAGTTAATTCTAAATCGAATATCTATGGATGAATATAGAAAATAATTAGGAAGTTCACTAAATTCATTACATCATTATGAATGTATTTCAGTATGTTCATCACTGTAAACACGAAATAAAATTACATAAATACGGAATTCACAATTCTTGATATCAAAGAACAAGAAAAAATACAGATGTTTGTATTATTCAAATAATGAATTATAACACCCTGGAAACCACTGTTACAGATTTGGTAAACACAAGGAAATACAATAATGCCATATTTTAAAAATCCAATTATGAACAATATCATACTTCATAATTTTTTATGTTTTCAATTAAATATTGTTTACCACGAATAGATAAAGACTGATTGATATGATCGTTGTCAGTTGGTTGTTGACACAATGCAATCATACAGGAAATGAATTTAGTAGCAGAAACAGAACATCAATAATATGTCGATTGGATGAATTATGAAATGTAAATTGTTGGTTACCGGTGTCACATGATGATGTTGTTGGGAGGAATTGTGTTAGTCCAAACGACAAATTTATCAAATTTTCAATGCTTCTATGTAGTCCATATTGAGATGTAGTTGAATATATTGAGCAGTTTACAGTTGACATTAATTCATTTGAATGTTGGGAAGTGAATGCTTTAATATCGGATAATAATCTGGACAATGTGTTCATTGGAACTCATCAGTAGGAACGTGTCTCCTGACGACCACTTAAAATAAAAATATGGTACATGAGTTATCGATTCACTCAGACTAATGACCACATTAAAATTTAGTCGACAGAATCCTTTAATGCACTAATTACTAGACAAATGTGACATTGGTTATAAATCATGGATGAATGGATGTAACTTTATTCCAAGTTTGTAGCAATCAACCTGAGTACTTTTTATCTTTCCATTCTGTACGATGAAACGCGTTAATTTATTGGTATTTTTGTCATATAACAAAAATTTAAGATGCAAATATTTGCAGGTATGTAAATTAAATGAAGGAATGTTTTAGTTTTTTCAAGACTGGTAACTATGAATTGTAATGGGAATATTTAATAAGATATAACATCTAAGTTTTAGGATTTTATGCTGATAACATGTTTTAATGAATCGCAAATGCAATTTTAATGTATTTCTTAGTCTTAAATGTGAAGTGAATGTGTAGAAAATACTAAAAGAAATTTACCAAAATGAATATAATTCCTAATCCATAACATACGTTTAGAGTTCTCTGAAAATGTTCACAGATAAATAGTTACTTGTTATGTGTTGGTATGTTATATCAAATTCGTTGGTAATAAACAGATCTACTGATCAACGTAGCTGAGGTTCTTCTTGTTTCTTTTGAGAAATTTATGACGGAATTTTAAATCATTTCTTAACAGTTTTCTGGGGCACTTTTTTGAAGTTCTAATTAAACGTCATTGTTTGTGAACTTAATTAAGTAGAATCATGATGCACACTGACGAATAATAACTTTAGATGATGGAATGATCATTGTGTTTCTTGATATGTGATAGATTATGACTATATTTCACATTATGCGATTTCTCAATTTATATGGATGTAATATGACAGACGTAATCATAAATTATACCGTAGATTAACAATTAGAATTAAGATAAACTCAATACAAATATCAAGTATATTCTAGTGGAAAACTTTGAAAATTAAAGAGGATCGAGAAACATATGGTTTTGAGAAAAAAGAAACTCATTTGGTGAGAATATAACGTGTCTGTGTGAAAATTATCAAACCTTCAGATTTACATTTTAACCACTGATAATCCAGTATATTGTTGTTGTTATTTATAATCTCTTCCACTGATCGATTCATGTTTTCAAATTCAGAAATAACTATCCTTGTTTAAATTGTTTAGTTTATACAAAAAAAATCAATAGAAATTGTTCTCGCTTACTTATCAACGTATTATTTTGCAATCAATGTACATTTTAATATATCTTGAAACGTATTTATCTCTTTTCATGTTGTTGTATACAGCCGTAGAAACGCTATGGTACATCAATCTTAAATATTTCCATTATATCAAAAGTTGAATAGAGAAAACTAAACACTGTTTTAAAATGAATCCTATGGAAACTGTAAGTTGGTTATCTATTATTCTAATTATTGTTTATTCAAAGTAGATAATAATTAATCGAAATAATTCATAGTTTTAGTAGTGTAGTTGAAATTTCAATCAATAGTTTATACCACAGAAAACAAAAAATATTAGAAATTGATATTATTTGCTTTTACTTTGTTCTTTTAAAGTTTACTTTTTACTTGAACTTTCATTTCATTGATCATTATTGATTATCATAAGAAATGCCCTGACAAGTATATGTGTGATCAGATTGTTCGTAATGTACAACGCAAACACATGACATTTTTCAGATCAACTCCGTCTTCTCATTGTTCTATCGAAATTTATAAAATGGATTAATTGCTTCAAATTATTGAAAAGACTCCGTCTTGCATTAAACGATTAGATGAACATGGTAATCTGAAGGGCCAAGTTGTATCTGAAAATTTAAAATTTGAGTTTTACAAGACTTGCATTACTACACACACACGTTTCCCAGACAGCTTTATAAATCCTTCTGAACTTATATATTGGAACTAAATGTTTCTAATCTTTTGCGGTGTACGAGATTTCACAAGGAAAAAATGTAATGGTATGATAAGTAAACTAATTGAACTTTCTACTCAAGCATCATGTGTATTATCGAATATTTTTCTAATATGTCATGTTAAATTTATGAACTTTTGAAGTACAAATTGCACTACTAAACAAAAGCTGAATAAATCTCTTATTGGTGATAATGATGGAAATTCATTTCAATTTAACGCTGATAAGCATGTGACAAATTTACCATCTGTTAAACTTTCCGTATTTGAGAAAGAAGCCATATCTCTCGGATTTAAATTCTCCGTTCCACATGCCAAGATTTCTAATCTATCGATAGGTGCTCAATTCGAAAATCTCTATGATCAGTTGAACCCTCTTGTTCCGACCATTCCAGATAAGTAAAATTGGTTAAAGGTGAAATTGGTTGATAGTGCCCACCACTTTCACGGTTATCAAATTAGATACAGGAAAATTCTGACTTCTGAACATTTTGCCGTTTTACAAAACCTCCAAAGTAACTCAGATATTGCGATCCTCAGGCCTGACAAATGTTCAAGTTACTATTAATAAATGTGACTATAAAGAAAAAATGTTATCTATATTTGGTGATCATAATAAGTTCCTGAGGGACGTTCTATAAGATATTAATGTTATAAAATTGGAATCAGTAGTAAAGTTCAATTTACAAAAGCTTCTTAAAATGAATGTCATAAACAAAGAGGAATTCGATTTGCTAAAACCTTCCGCTTCCGTTCTCCCGAATTTATATGGATTGCCTAAAATTCATAAACCTAATAATCCATTACGACCAATATTATCTATACGTAGCTCACTGACACACGAACCAGCTAAATGGTTAGTAAAGTTGTTAAACCCGATTCGTAATAAACTATGTAAACTTTCCTTTGAAGATATATTTGAATTAACATTAAAGATAAAACTTTGCATTCCTTTAATGTAAACCGATAACTAAGACTGTGGATTTCCTTTGTGACTATACACCTACAAATTTTCCTTTTTTTCATATTCGGTCATAATTGTTGAAATAGTTACTTTTGTTATGTATTGCAAATATTCAGTTGATGTTTGAAGGCGAATATTTTCGACAAGTTGATAGTTTTGCTATGGGTAGCCATTCTTGCTGACAGCGACTTGGATGAGTTGAGATTCCGGCAGTTACCAGGTACAGCTGCTGCTTCCAACTCATTGGCACGCTCCGATCACCAAGCTTCTCGGTCCTTACGTAAGCTTTGCACAATTTCATTATGTAACCGTCTTCGTTTGCGGTCACCCAGAGTAGATCTATGTGCTTCAACGAGTTGTAAAAAGTGTGTAGGAACCCAGTGATTATAAGAGGGATGTTTCGCGAAGCCACTAGTGACTTTAATTGCTGTTTTATTGCATCACGCAGTTGCACCCAATGTTTATCTATACTTTCCGTTGGGTTGATAGCTGGCCATGAACCTCGCTGAGATGATATTTAGTTACAACAGAAGTTGCAGCCAACTTGCTGACATAGATCCGTTTGGGGAGATGAATTTGTTAGCCATTGAAACCTAAGACAAGGCTAGCCCAAAAAGTGCATGGTCAAAATCAAGATAAGTTCTCCAAAAGGAGCGGCAGTTATGTACAAAATTACGACAGAGATAGCTGATTGGAATGAGATCAATCTGAATCCAGATATGAAATACTTAGGGAGGAGACCAGACAGCATATCGGCGATGACTGTGCTGATTGTTAGTGCTAGCCAGAAACAGGTTGCAGTCTACGACAAGTTTCGGTCAACGGTCACCGTTATCAGACTTGCGACCAACAAGTTCCAATTGGCCATCTAAATGATTCTTCTCTATGTCTAGACACCCAGCATGCTCATTCAAATCCCCGACCAGTAGTACTACAATATCTGTTGAATGCATTTTCTGGAGATCACTTAACTGTTGCTAGGACTCACCATAGATTGCATCCAGGCCTTTGACATAGAGGTCTAATTCACAAG